CCCAGAAATTTAATAATAATCGCCAAAGTAGGCAGAAAAATGCCAGTTTCTTCAATAACATTATTATGACGAGCGCCTGATTCCACCACGTCATGACACAAATAATCATATCACATTTCTGTTTGTTTAAACCTACAGGATTGGACATGAATGGAGGTAGCAGGTTCATTATTTGGTATCTCATTTCATATCAACATTGTCTGTAAGCTATTCCAAAATGAAAGCAAGTAAAATATAATATATATGAATGACACAAGAATATACTATGAAAATGCACAAGTGAAAACGATGCAAGATAAAACATTCTTTAGAATGATTCTTAATCCCCCCCCCCCTATTTCCCCCAAACCATACAAAAGGAGATCTTTCATAAGCGCTTATGATGTCATAAGAGATTTTAATTTAATGAAATGTGTGAACTAATATTTTTCACGTTGTCAGATGGGATTAAAATAACCCCAAAAGGAATTTCATGACACTTTCATTTTTGATACCCCCTCTGTGAGAAAATAATCAAAAAAGTTTACCAAAACAGTACGTTCTATCATCATAATATGGTCGCTTTGAAGGACAATCGGGCTAACCCAGATTTCGGGGGTTTCCAGAAATCTTGACCTACACCAAAAGTGGGCATTTCCTTACCTATAGGAGAAGTTTGGTTTCATTGGTGTGTATATTTGTTTGGTTATAGAGAAAACTCTCTTTGTATTTTAAAGAGACTGAATATGGACTATACGAAGTGATTTTTTATATTTTATTTGTCTTGGCGAAATCATCTCATCCCTTTCCCTGCTACATAGCGTGCCTTCATTTTAAAACAAAGTTCGTAAATATAATAATACTATACACATGTATATCTGAAGCCCTTGTCGGAAATATTAGGAGAGATAATAATAACATTGGAACAACGTACATATCTAAAGTTACAAAACGTGACAGATCAGAACAACACAAATGTTCACATTACAACACTCAGCAACCCGGGAAGAACTTTCCAAACATACAAAGCTTTTCATGCATCTAAGGAGTACCAGCATTGGAGAAAAAAACAGGAAAATGTATATATATTTCAAACGTACATAGGCAAAGCAGGCAGACTGTAATGTTTGTCTATACTGGTGATAAAACCCCAATAAATGTTGGGTCAAAAGGTTAAAAGGAAAGAGGAAAAGAAGCTTTTTAAATAGTAAAATATGAGCAATAGAAGGCAAGAAACAAATTGGTCCAAAGGTATTGTGGGGCTCAGGGGGGGGAGTGTTTAGAGTACCTAGTCGTAGACCAATCACCAGTCTTGAGGTGTGAGGAAAAATAATTTCAATACCGAAGAGAGTTCTTTTCATTTATTGCTACTGTTTTTCTTCGGTGGAAAAGGGGGTGGGAGGGGGTGGAGGGGTTACGAGGGGTTATGAAACTTCTTTAGACCATTGAGGATAGCGATGAGGCAGTCATCTTTTCCAGCGAAATGCCATTAAACGTATCCATTTCTAAAGACATCTTGTATAGCTAATATAACTTCCTGACATTCTAACACATTTCGACATACACATAAATTTGACGATAATAACTATATACATTGGAAGCATATGTTAATTTTTTGCTACTGACACAATAAATATACACCTAATCTCCCCGACTTCATGGAAAGAGATACTTTGAAGTTTTGTAATGACAGATGTAATATATATATATTGTTCTCTAAACGAAATGTGTTGTGACGTGGTGGAATCAGGCGCTCGTCAATGTTTGGGCCTGTAGAGTTATTTGTATCTTCTTAAAGTTTGTTCAGTTGTCTTGTTATCGGTGAACAAAATACTTACCTATCTTGAATAGAAGTTGAAACATTTGAGATTGTAGAAGG